CCGGACGGGGGTTTGATTGCCGAAAAGCTGGACATGTCCGGGAAAAACCGGACGTATGGTAACCCTAGACAAGTCCCACATACATAAGGAAGCCAAAACATTGGCAGTACACAGCTCTGCACCCTCCAGGATGTGCTGAAGAGCACTGACCCTGAAGATTTACAGATATTTGCAGGAGATTTTTTTTGTTTGTTTTTGTTTTTTGTTTTGTTCTCAAATGATCTTGGAAAGTCTGCAGTGAATATGGTCAGCAAGAGATTTTGTGGCTAGCAGACTAGGCAGCATTTTTTTCGCCTGACTGTCTAAGGTGTACTGGGTTGTGCCTATTTTCTTATGGACTTCCTAGAATTTGCAGAAAAACAGGGCTCCTCTCCGGCAGTTTTTGACAATTAAAAAAACCACCAAAACAAACAAAACACTTATTTTTTTTTCTGTTGGGTGGGATATTCTTTAAGGTTGCAGACTAATGTGGGCATTGTGAGGACACGTTACTTTTCAAGGATGTTAGACATAAGTGTTATAAATCCAAGAAACACGGGAGACAAGGCTGCACTTTTCAAACAGGGCACCCAAGCTACCTGAACTCTACCTTCTTAGCAATGTCCTGCAAAACAAACCCGTGCTACTTCCATGTTCCATAATAAACAATGTTGGTACTTGTGACCAAAAAACACGATGTTGTATATTTAATTGCTCAGTGGTTACGCTCCTTTATGGCTAACTTTGAAACCATATGCAGAGCACTCAAAATAAGTTTTACCAAGTCCTGATTTATGAATAGCACACGGAAGGCAATCATTCCCCATGCTCTAGCAAAGGCCCAATCTGCTCAGGCGCTGAGGGCAATCAACCTCTCATAGTCCGTGTTTAACAGTTCAGATACCAATCCTATATTTTTTCCCCTTTGGCAATCCTTTATCTTGTTGTCACACAGTTCATGTGCCTCAATATACAAAATTCATATTTTCCTCCATCTGTGGTGTCGCATTGTAACTCCAGTTGGCTACCAAGGGGCAATTTTTCCCACCAAATAAAGCTGCTATTTATCTTTTTATTTTTGGAATAGCAGGTTGACTTTTCTTTCTGTGTCTTTCTCCCCCTCCTGTTCAATTGTGCTTAGATTCAGCTTTGCAGTGGCAGAGGTAGATTGGTGCTGTGCTCCTGTAACTTTACCTATTGTACCTGCTGTGAATTCAATTGACTAGGCTTTCTGGATGGTGGAAAAGAGTGCTCACTTACTCAGGTGTGCCCTAGGCAAATGGATTAATCTGTGCTATGGCATTCTTAAATTCAAGCAGCTGCTTGAGTAAAACAGACTTTCAGTGGTTCTTATAACCTATTTAGCAGTTAATGAGCAATTAGTGATCTTGTATCGCTGTATGTAAAAGAGAATTTGAATATTCGTTAAAATGAGCAATTAATAGTGTTGGTTAAATGTAGGCATAGTATCTGTTTACACTGTGTCTCAAAGTCATCCTCATTGACTTCTATAATATATTTGCAGTTAAAGTACTGGACTGATTTATGATCATCTATGATGGTCTTATGATGATGATTGATTGTCTGACAGTAGAGACCAGGCTGAAATCCTCCAAATGAATTATTACTTAAAAAAAAAAAATACAGCTGAAGGAGCTGCTTTCCATTTGAAGGAAAATCCTTTTTATTTCTTGACACTTTTCTGACCAGCACTTCGTTGATCCACATGAAGAATTCAGTCACGCTCGTGTAGGTTTTGGACATTGTTGAAACTCCCATTCTGCTGTGGAAAGAAAATGTTTCATACGTAACCTTCTCAGGTTGATGAAACCATGGCAAGCATTCAGCTTGGTAATGGAGAGCCATGTCATCACGCTAACGTGAAATGTTTGAAAGTTGCTTCAGAAACTGTCAGCATGGCTGAAAGCTGTGAAGTTACCTTCCCAGGGGATTGTTGGCAAAGCAAGCTCCATTCACTTCCCTCAGTAATCTATATGCAGAGAGTGGAACATTTTCGTGCTCTGTTTAATAGTAATGACATTAGGACATTACAATTAAATAATTCTACCTTAGGAGAGTGATAGGTTGGTTTATTGCTTTAAAATGAAAGCTTTGCTGCTAAATTTTCACTTCTTCCACTTTCCCTCCCCTCTACCCATATCACTACTCCTATCAACTGAATGAAATTGCCTGATCATACCACCACCTTGTCCTTAATAACATCAGTGAAAGCATTCAGTCCTTCAGGGTAAGCTAGGATTCATCTTCCGTTTTCATCTAAAGAGAACATATTTCTTATTTCACAAAACTTGGCAGTCTTTCTAATTGTTTATTTTAAGCCGTTTATGACTTATATCGTTTCTGAAGGGGTAAATGTCTGTGGACATCCTGAATTCTGTTTATGTAGATAATCAGTGATGTATTGTGGGGAAGGAAAGTAGGGAACCAAAT